GTCCTGTGGAGGTGGCTCTTCTGTGTTGTGCCATGCGCTTGTGAAGTGGCTGTTTGGTCTCTCCGATGTAGAGGTCTGAGCATTCCTCGCTGCAGGAATGCCCAGACCTCTGACTACGATGACCTGGATGACTGAGAACCTTCACAGACATAAAGAATAAACTGTGCACCTCCAAAAATATCACCTTGGATTTAATCGTTTTATAAATATTATAAAAAAATACCCTGAAAGTCAAGGCAGAGAACTTGAGACATGACTACATACACTACCTTTCTGGGTGACTTTCACGTGGTCTGACACTTTCTCATATTCTGCCAGCTCCTGGAGAAAAACAAACAAAGCATGAGCTCATCGTTCATAACGAGCTCTCTAACATTTATTAGCCTGTTTGCACTGAAACTAAAGAGCAAAGCGAGCACATCGCATCTGAACCATGTAATAATGACAGCAGCAGCAGAGAGGTTGATGGATGTCAGCCTGACGGTCGATGCATGTCACTAAATGTCTTACACACACAGCTGGACTGCGCGCGCACGTTTCCGCTCACCATGATCATGCGCGCGATGTCCTTGCAGTCGTCCAGGTTGGCTGCACGGATTGAGAAGTCCATGCTGAGTAGATGTGGTGATGATCGGTCGTGATCTCAGAGCTGGACAGCCGCGTTTCCTTCAACTTCTTCTTCTTCTTTGGGATTTAAAAGCAGTTGGCATCCGTCTCCATTGCATTACCGCCCCCTGTCACATGTACTGCACTACTCTGTCTTTGCCAGTTTTTTTCTTTACTGGATTTCCCTGCTAACGCATCTGCTTTCTGATTCCCCAGAATCCCTGTGAGAGCTGATGCCACATGAACACGATTTTTATCCACTGACGTTTATCCACTAATTAACTGTGAACTGACTGACAACATGGCATAAACTAAAAACCAGCTGTCCCCAAAAAGCTTGCCTGCCATCATTTCCTCTTCCTAATCTAGCTAGCAAAATGGTACATTGCCTAAAATCATGTACACTGAGAAGATTTTTTATGTATACCAACCGGATTCCTGGGAATAGCCTCAGTGACTCCTGTCAAATGACTCCTGTTGTGGCTCTTTCGAATCATC